AAAGTTCCTTCAAAATAAGAGTCCCGATCTTATTACTACCAAAATAAAAGTGCAAAACGAAACTTTACCATAGAAAAATGGTTGCATTAAATTATAATCACTTCTATAAAAAGGTAACACATTTTAAATATAGTTAGACATATTAAAGGTAATTTACAGCATCAATAATTAATATCAAATGCTTAACTGTGAATACTTTTCATTTATTTAACATTAGAAATGTATTAGTCTGGCCAATCCAAGACTTCAATGCTGAAGGGCCAATGGATATATGGTGGGGGTCAGCACAAAGCTCAAGTGAACCCACATTTGAAAGGGAGACAACGGATGACGAAACTAGTGACTTGCTCAATTCATGTTTGAGGGATCCGTGAAGAACATGACAACAGCTGCACTACTGGTATTTAGTATACCAGCAATTGAGGGTGGACAAGTTTACTACCACTTTAGTTTCAAATAATTGTGTTAATTACTTATTGTAAAGCATTTGAACATTCTTTTGTCACATTTTCATTATTAAGTTGATGTATAACTGTATAGTATCTTAATTATTTAAAATATAAGGTGACTATAAATGGCAACCGTATTTTCAGTTTTGGAAACCAAAAGCTGATGCCTGGTTGCCAGCCTGGCAACCACTTTTAAAAGTTAGCGTTGAGCCCTGAGCTTGGCTCAACTGCACTTTTATGTGTTGTTTAAATGGTAAATGGACTGTACTTATATAGCGCTTTATCCAGTCTTTACGACCCCATGTCATCATTCACACCTCTTTAATACAGAGCAGTGCCACTTGCTGTAGGAGGCTAACATTCATACACATTCATACACCATGCCATCGGGAGCAACTCAGGGTTACATCAACATGTTGACTGCTTGGGCTGGTATCAAACCCACAGACTTCTGGTTGAAAGACAACAGCATAACCTCGCAGCCAGTCGCCCCTTTAAATGGGGTGCTTTACTTTACATGAAAATAACCTTTTAGGTACTACTTTTACAAGACCTACTCTGACATTAGAGAACCGTTTTGATTGGCAGTGTGAATTTGGGTGTACGTCAAATACAAACTTGTAAAGGAAACTTGTTACTTACCAAATCTGCTACAATGACTTCAATCTGGCCCTGCACCATCTGCACGTCTTTGGTGGGACCCTCCAGGGTGATCTTATCTTCTCCCTCAGTGAACTCAATGTGCACCTGAAATCAAAATACATGGGAAAGTAAGATTTAAAAAATGAATATATAGTATCATTTAAAATGCTTTAGTTAGTTAATGTATAGTAAACATACCTTGGGCATTTGTTGGGTAATCTTGGCCAAGTTCTGCCCCTTCTTGCCAATAATAAAACGATGAAGCCAAGAAGGAGCTGTGACCGAGGAAATAGTGTAGCTGTTCGCCTGCAAAAGGAAGTGTGTTCTTTAAGTTAGACCTTATTTCTTCAATGATTACAGCATCAAACTTAATCAGAACATGAAAACATTCCACACCTTGGCATAAACTTCAGTGAGGGCCTGACCCAGGCGGTCAGGCTCCCCACGGAGGATGACAGTTTCTGAGCTGCTGTCGGACGGTGGGATCTCCACTGACACACCAGTCTTCTCCAGGATCTCCTGCAGGGTGTTTCCCTTGGGACCGATCACATACTTGTGCTGAGACTTCTTCACTTCCACTGCGATGGTGGTGGAATTCTTCTTCTGCAATAAAAAAAAAAAAGAGTAGAGTTGATCAGGGACTTGTGCATCATACAATCTTAAGATGCCACATACCAGTTTGATTTAGAACTAAAAACAACAAATGTTGTAAAATGAAACTCTAGCTGCTTATAGCTAAATACAAATTTAAGTCATTTCAGTTTTGTTTAAGATATAATATACAACTACCTAAAAAAGGAGACTGCATGAATTTCCATCAAAAATCACGACATTGAACCACAGAAACTGAAAAAATAAAATAACTTGGAGATGTAGCGTTGGCTACACATTTAAATATTGTAGTTAGTATATAAAATGCTATGCAACTAAGCCATTCAGCTCAGGTCTATGTAAACCAGCTAGAAGGGAGAAAGTATGCATTCTGTGAGTATATGTTAGGGGTGCAACAACTAATCGACTTAATCGATTAAAATCGATGACCAAATTAGTTGCCAACTAATTCAGTCGTCATCACGTGTGTTTTACGCGCAGTTAAGCTCCAACCTTATCGGTCTTTTTATCGTACTGGAGACATTTAAAAACGTATGTCATATGTATTATTGCTACATAAACATTATATCATAGTCTTAGTGTCGCCAACTCCGTTTCTAATATGCAATAGGACTACAAAATGCGTCCGATGTATTTTCGATCTTTCCAATCCAGACGAGATCTCTCTCTCTCCCCCCCGTCTGTGTGCGAGGGGGCGGGGCAATTTACACACACACACACGGCTGCTACATGCATGCTACACACACACGGCTGCTACATGCATGCAACACACACACGGCGGAGATGGCGGAGAAAAGCGCTCCAAGGCGTGGTTACACTTTACCCATCTTGAGGTGTACAATGCTCGTTGCCAAAAGTGCAATAAGAGTTTAGCATGTGAGGGCGGTAACACGAGCATTTTGGCGAAACATTTAGCAAAAGTGCACCACATTCAGACGGAGAAATGCACCGGGTTCGACTGTCTTTCTAGTAGCTCTGTAGCCCCATCCACGACCAACTTTTCCACGTCAGGTATGTAATGTATGCTAGCAGCAACACACGGAGTTAACTCAATTATACAAACATGAGGTAACTGAGTTATTTATTTTGTTAAAGTTTCAGCTATTCTGTTCACAGTTCTGTCATCACATTATTTAATACGATTTGTTAAAACATTG